TTACTATGTAAATTACTTAGTCGAAATATTTTTTTCATATTCTAAAATTTAACTATTGAAGTTAAATAGTAAAGCACAGTAAAATATTTTAAGTATCGATGAATATTATTTAAGAAATATGGGACACAAACAAGATTAAAATATAATATTTTATTTCTAATATTTTTATTAGAACTATTATCAATTAATAATCAGAACTCCGGATTTAGGAAAAGGCATATGATAACTATTTTATTTGCTTTTTTTAGCTTTTAGTAATGATTTTTAATAAATTTAATATTAAAATAATTATGTAAAAAAAAAATAAAACGAAAAAATAGTATAGCTTGTTATTTTACACAATTTACATTAGTAGGTAGTATAAAAGTATAAACTATTAAATACATTATAATAAGAAAAATGTAGATCTTTAATTTTAATCATATACTAGAAAATATGTTCTATAATTCAAAAACAATTCTTTTGAATTAAAAGTGGCTATCGAACGATTGGAAAACTCCTTTTTGGCCGAACGACTGAGAACACTTCAAATTAACAAAGAACTTACCGTTGACCCAAAAAACAATAAGATTGAGAACGAATTTACGTGCAATGTTACCATATCATTTATTTGGCTTTTGAAAATTCAGTATACATAAAATAAATATTCTTGAAAAAAGTCATAAATTAATAATTATAATCGTATACAAATAAGCGCCTAATAATATGTAGGTAATATATAATATGAATAAAAAATTTAAAATATGTAGAACTTATAAAAATATCTAATACCTGAGTAGTGTATATATGTATAAAAAAAAATGTAAAATATGCAGAACTTAAAAAATTATGAAGTATATATGTATAAAAATGAAATAAATATAATATTTTGTAATGACAACTTAATTATCTATATATCAGTTATAGCGGGATAGCGTAAGCCAATATACTTTGAATATTTTAATAAATTATTAGAATTTTTATTCCCCACATACCATTATGAATATTAAATATTTTATCCTTTTGTTTTTTTGGCATTTTTTTTTTTTTATTCTATTATCGTAGCTATTTTTAATATTGTTTCTGCTTGAGTTTCAATTAAAGCTTTAATAGCTATATATATTGCTGGATGAGAGCTGTAAAATTGACTAACGACTATTATAATATCATTCTATCGTATCTGGTATCTTAGTTACTATATTAATATCCGGCTAATCCGATAAAAGTCTAATAAATATCAACAGATTATTGTGCTTATATTATCGATTAATTAAATTTGGCAACGTTGGAAAAAATAAAAAAAATTTAAGCGTTTTCAATCGTATTTTACCGATATTCTTATCTATGAAGAGATATTTAATAGCTAATATTATACTAATTATTATAAATAGTTTGAAGTTTTAGTTAATTTTCGTCTATATGAGACATAATATTGTTTAGTTACAATAATATATAAGATGGCCGGCAAATTGCTAAAATATTCAAAATATTATTTTTTTTTATTAAGTTATGAAATTCTTAAGTGTCTATAGAAAATATGTGGAAGTATAATATTCTTACACTCAAAATGTAAATACAAAATATTATGGTTCAATAATTGAAATAAGTACCTATAACAAATTATATTATCTACCAAATAACCTTTAAATTTAATATTAGCATCATAAATGTTGACAAAAAAAAAAAAAAAAAAAGTGATAAAATAATAATAAAATCAATTGGTACTAGTACTATTTTCATATTCCTTCAAAGAAGTAAAATGTTTAAATAAATATTTTGGTTATATGTACCAGTACAATAAAAAATTAAAAAAAGTAAAAGAAAATATAAAATTGTATACAGGGTTATTACATAAAACATGATACAGATAAACTAAATAATACTCAACTAAATTAAAAATGTATTTCCTTGTGTATGGATTATTAGTAGTTGGCAAGACGCATGCACGTTCTCAACTAAGTAGTAAGTTGTTCTGTTTAAATAGATAACAATATTGTCTACCAAAATTAGTAGGTTCATTACTAGAGTTATGAGGTTTTTATAAAATATTTTTTGTCTAATTCCAGAGATTATTTGGTATTATTAAATAATTAATAATAATGACTCTAGGTACCTATAGTTTGATCACTTGTCAAAAAGTAGCCTAACCTGAGGCTTAGTAATTTTTCAATAAAATATACATATGTATAGTTACAAAAACAAAAAACAAATAAGTACCATATGTGTATATAATTTATTGTGAACTACTTGTATTAATAAATATTGAGTGCAATTTTTCTATTACAGGTAGATAGATAGTTAGTATTTGTAATAATTTTATAGTATCATATGCGTTTTGGTAATTAATCTTTAGTCCAATTAATTATATTCATAAAATAACTACCTAATGACAAATACCATCAATATTGTACCTATTGTTTTATTATTGCTATACAATTATTTCTATTCAATATAGTACTACCATGAGTAATAATATGTTTATAGTGTATAAGTTCCCAAACTGTGAGTCATTAATTTGTGATTATATTTTGGTAGGTCACGTTAAGTTTTAATATATTTATATATATACAGTAGCGTATTTAGCTTTTTGCCGCCCATAGGTTAAATTATACTGGTGCTGCTACCCTTATCTCACAATATACTAAGGAATCAACAATATTTAGTTTGAACTTTTCATGATAAATTTTTATATGCACATTTTTTTTTCAAAAAATTTATAAAGTCCTAAAAACAAACAAATTTAAAACATAATAGATTTCAGGCCTAATAGTTTTCATTACTTGTCAATACGATTCTTGTTTAAGTATCTTGTTTGATTAAAATATTGACTTTTGAATTTGGAGAAATCAAAGTTTTTATTCTGAAAACCGTATACGACAAAGAGTGATCACAAGTTATTTCATTATACGTCCAAAATGCAGGATCTTTATCGAAAATTATTTTGTTATTTTATTTATTCTTATAATTTGAATCAAAAACATCATTACACACAGAAATACATAATATGTTATCATCAATTATTTTTTCAACAATACTTGAATTCTCGAAGGTACCTAGTATTGGAAGTGTCAATGGTGTCTTACATTTCGTTATCTACTCTATCTACTAATTATTAAAAAAAAAAAATGTTTACATTTTCAAAAGTACTATTACTATATAGTTTACTCATATTGTTGATTATTTGTTCAGAAATTTTTGAATAGTTTAAAGCATTTTCATGTCTGTTTAAATTGTTTAAGTTTGTAGAAGAAATTTCACCAGCAATTCACAGTACAGCCAATTTTTATTTCAAATATATTTGAATAATTTTTATTAGAAGTAAAAAACGAATCCAAATTTTTTGTATCCTTAGATACCTTTATATTGAGACTAATATGAAGCGAATACTCCAAGATTTTAATTAATTGCATAATAATTAAATCGAATATCATAATATTAAAAATTATGATAAATTGACTTTCCAGTGGGTGCACTATACACTATACATTATACATTGACTGTACCGGAAACCTTAATTTATTAACAGAATTAGACAAAAGTAAAAGAAAAATAATGTATTAAACACTAGTATGTGTTTATATAGGTATAAATAATACAAATATATTCGGATTAGGCGTTAAAACTTAGAACTAACCTTTTTTCGTAGACATCTTTGAGATGTAACTAAATTTACTATTCATCTACTTGTCAGTAACATAGGTAAACTATTCAGAAATTCTTAAATTAATATTTAAAACTGTCATGGTAATATAATATGTTAACTTTTAGTAATGTTACTGTTATATCACCGATTAAATATTTTTGTTGAATCATGTCAAAATGTTTAAGAGTTTACGTTGAGTTAGATGACTCTTAAGAAAGCTAAGATTAAAATAAATTGGTGTTAAATTATCTGATCTTGAGGGGGGGGGGCAAAAATTCCAATTCAATAAAAACGAAATCCAATCCACAGACTTGCCTAGATATTCACGATTACACTTCGAGTATCAAACTTATCAATATCCCTTAATTAAAATTAAATTTTTTATAAAATATTTACATACCTAGTCAATATATCAGGAAATAGAAAACTATAAAATGCAAGGAAGCTAAATAAGCCATTGAATATTATTTGTTTGATGTTATTATTTATTATTATTATTGTGTTATAAAAACTCGAGATTGATGTAATTTTAAATAATGAAAATCTACAAACAAGCATAATTATTTATATAATACACATTAAGTTATTACGGGATCGCAATATTTTGACACATTTATGATTTGTTAGTTTTATTTTCTAGTATAAAATGCAATATACGTATACCTATGTCTACTAAAAAGCCATACAAATAACTGTTTCATGTGTGAAAAATATAGCTTAGGGTTAGTTTTAAAAGCACGAAAAATTTAATACTAAGAAAATAAGAAATGTGTACTGACATTATCAGCTCTTGCTCAGACTTCTATACATTAAAAACTAATACATTTTTAATAACAAATTATAATTTACTTTACACTACACTGAAGAACATATTACTTTATCCTTACAATATTATATCACTAATCAAAATACATATTATATTTTGTGCCATAGTCGAATTTAACGTAGAAATATAGAATATAGTTTTTATTATATCTTATAATAATTATTACACTAGACTGTCATAAATGTAAGTCATAATACGTATGGCATGAGTTTTAATGAAGGTAAAGTAAACGTTAAGCTAAAGTGAATGGTATTATTAATTTTGATCAAGAATACGCGTAAATAATCGAATTTAAGTTGAATTTACGATGGAAAAAAATGATTACGCCTATCTCACGTATAATAATTGTGTTATAGTTTTGATTTGTTTCTACAAGACGATGTCAATATATCAGAAATGGTGAAAAAATAATGTCATCTGGGAAATGCGCTGGTAATAAAGTCCAGTAAATGTTTAGGGAATTGTTGCACGGTAGTAATAATTAAATATAACATCATTTAGAACATGCGTGATATCGTCTATTGCTCTGTAGATTTAAAGTAATCGTAAAAAGGTACTATAAAAGGAGCCCGATCATCGCAACACGCCAACAAGTCACTCAAGCTATCGACGAGACAGTATCTCCGCTTCTCGAAACAAAATAGTGAGTATTTAGTTTATTTCTTTAAATATTTCTGAACAAACAAAAGCTTAAGAAATGTTATGATAAATTTATGTTTTAATTTTTAAAAAAACGTTTATAATATAATAGTTGTACTACGTAGTTTTTTTGTAAAACATTATGTTTGTATAGCTTATTATCTCATGCTTGATGTTAGAATAATAATAAGAAATAAAACTTTTGCTATAGAGTAATTTTATAAAAATTTAAACCAAGTTCAATTTTAAACTATTTACATTGATTATCGATACCATATTACAAAAATATGCAGAGATTCGCAGTTTAAAGAAATATTTTATTTTATCTGGGATTATAAATAGTTGATGACTATCAAACTCTACACCCATTTTAGACTTTTAAAGTGTTAAAACGTAAATTAGTAAATTTTACAAAGCTAAATAAGAATTTTTTTTTTTTGGTTCAAAAACTTGTATAAATTCTTCACATTTTTAAAAAAACTTAATAAAATATACATTGTTAGTTTAGTTCAATTTAGTAATTTATTAAACAGCATTTCATCAAACCTAAAATATGAATTCATATTAATAACATTGTTATTAAATTAATAGAATTAGGTATCTACTAGCAAATTTAATTTTAAAATTAATCACTTTAATTTTACTTTTATAATAATTTCATTTAATAATTATTATTTATAATATATATTATATATTATATAATAATTATTATTCAAAATATTTTAATTTTTAAGTACTGAATGTACTCATAGGTACGAAGCGTTCTAACATAATTTGGATAATTACTAAACATTTTTAGCATATAATGATGATATTAATAATAATGAACCCATATAAAAATTAATTTGAAATTGTTAACTGTAGCCAAATAAATGTTAAATTAAAATTGCTCATTACTGTATATAATATATATATATTATATATAAATCGTGTTAAAAAATATATAAATCAAAATACGACGAAAGTAACTAGTACATATTCATTCAAAAGTTTTCTACTTATCAAGTGTTTTTAAATTGAATAACATTTTTGAGATAATCATTTGTCTGTTTATAAAAATAATGCATAATAAAAATAAAGGTATCATTGTTACGTATAGTCTACTTAGCAAGCGTGACCATTGGCTACCCGCTAGTCATGGAGTTTGATTAAAACTTACATTTAAAAATTCATCTATAATATTATACTATAATTATTTTTTGTTAACGGTAAAATTAAGATAAATAAGCCTATCATAATACAATGATTAGTTGTTAACTCTTTGTTAGTGTAATAGGTACGCGAAGTTATTACCTGATTTTTTTTCTGTCTTAGGTACTTTTAAATATTTCTTTAACAATGAGTAGATACACATTGTAATTAAAAAAATGAAATGTGCACATTGTTTAGTTGTTTAAATAAACAAACCAACAAAAACCGATAAGTAAATCATATTTAACAACAAAAATTGATAGATAGAGTACACGTAACAATTGGGTGTCAAAATAAGTTCATGCTGTTTCAACGGCTTTTTTCTCATTCTAAATTGTAAAATAATTATTAAATATTTTATAGTTTTATACGATAAAAACGTATGGTACACAATGTTTCCCAAAATAAATTATCAATAAGTAATAACTAATAGCCAATCTGAATTAAATGTATTGTAATGTTTATTGTCTACATACTTTCGTAATAATATAACAAACAACAACAGCAATAATATAAGAAGTTTTCCTGTAAAATCCTTTAAATAATTATTGTTTAAATAAAACATTTAAATTTTTCGTTAAAATCGTCTAAATAATGGGTTGTTTGTAAATAATAATGATATACGAGTACGTAATTTATAATGATAGGTATATTAATTATCATCTTGAAATCATTAAAGCGTGACATTTTCAGTCCAAAGAAACGCCGCCTAAATTCAACATGAACTTCAAGTGCACCGTAGCTGTGTTCCTGCTGATGGTAGTGTTGATGTTCGCCACGGACTCAACAAACGGATTCAGAAAACCGCCTTTCAACGGTAGCATCTTCGGAAAGCGAACAATTTCTTATCCGGGTACGTCACACAGCATTCGTTTAACATCACTTTGTCCTTCCCTTCATTCAGTTTTGAACAAAAAACAATCGTTAAATATTCCAAAGGTGGATCGTTACGAGTACAATTTTATTTATTATACACGACCATAAGGATTTACAAACTGCTCATTTTTATCTCTCTTCGCCGTGCACCTATATCTACTATTGAAAATACGACAACAGTGCATTTTCATTAAATTTTCATACCATAAAAGTTGTTCATAAAAATTCCAACAAAATGATTGTACTAAAGTTTTTTATAACAACAGATTATTTGGAAAAAAATCACTAACTGTAAATATTTTGGATGTAACTTAAATATAAAATGAAACATATATTTGTAGAAATAATTGCCTATAGCTACCCCTTAATAATTGCAATTCTCGATATTATGATGGTCACTGGCCAGTGAATAAAAAATAAAAATAATAATATTATAAATGTAAAAAATTAGCATTAGTAAGTTATTGTATTATGTATTTTTTTGATTATGTATTGTATTTTTGCGTAGAATACGAAAATCCTGGAAAAACTATTTACACCATGTGCGAGATTGCATCGGATGCGTGCCAAAACTGGTTCCCCACAAACGTAGAGAAGAAATGAAATGCTCGCACCTCAGCCCAGTAGAAAATGAAACGTCAACCTGCGACGTTTTAAATTCAGTAGTCAAAAATATGTAGTAGAATGAACCGTGTTTTTGGAATTTTTTTTTCTAATAAAATGCTTGTCTGATATAAATCACAAAAGATGTCTTAGATTATTTTTATTTTTCATCCTTTTCAAAATAACTGTCATTCAGTGCCGTCTGTGAAAGACAGAACCAAATTTTTTTGATAACCCTCAATCCAACACTCTCCAGACTTAAATAATTCAGTGAAATTTCTAGTTCGGATTAAGACTTAAGATACATAATAAGAGGTCGGAAGTAAACCGTACGCGTGATCGTTTGATAAAAATATTATTTTTAAAAATGCCTTATTGATAATTCAATGATAATCTATACAGGTAATATCAATCGGTTTTTTAGACGAAAACTAAACTATATTTTCACTTTTGTCTAACTATACAAATTTAAAAATTCATTTCATTTATTAAATTTAAATTTGTTATATTAAGTTTATTTGAAATTAACTTGAGATTATGCCACTAATTTCAATTTTTATTTTAACCTATATTTGATTTTATAAAACATTTAAGAACTTTTAAATAGTGATTTAACCGAATTAAAAAAAGTAATATTATTGATAACAAATAAACTTCATAATAAATTTAAATATTAGCAATTTTCTTTTCCAATTATTAGTTTTGTTAGTAGATATTATAGACACAAAGTACACACTTCTTGATAATAAATATAACTTGTAAGTTGTAAAACACAGTTTGGTGACACTGACATGCTGACAAGTACTAATTGCACTTATCTATATTACAGTTGTACACATTATAAAAAATTATCACTACAGGGCTTGGATTTGTATGTATTTATTTGATCAAAATATGTATTTATACAACCAAAATAATATGTACTAAAAAACTTAAAATATATAATATTATTAATATTAATACAATACCGATTCGACGATATTATATTATCAAGGTGTAAACTATTAATTTACTAATGAGGATTTTTCAATTATTCTGTATTCTGAAGGAAACACGCTGTACATATACATAAAAAAGGCATTGCACATGTTAAATTGTCAAAATTGTCTAAATATGTGAGAAAAAAATAGAATAATTCTGAAATATATAAAATCATGTATTTATGATTAAATGTGTAAAATCGATTACACTTTATTTTATGAAAAATCTTGTCACGAATTAATTGACAAAATCTTTTCACAGTGAAGATTTATGTATTTACATATAAATCCGAGCCCTGTTGATCACTTAATACGCTCGCGTTTAAGTAATTGTCTACACCGAACTCCTTTAAATACGGTCGGCATTGAATCTCCAACAATATGATAATTTTCAAACTATCATCAGATTTTAACGTTTCCTTGTAATATGAATACATGAATATTTTTCAATCAGTTCAAGTACCAAAATTTTTAACGAAAAACCTTTCATTATGACTAGGATAGAGGATTTTTAGCATTTGTATATTTGTTTTGCACAATCATAAAAATAGCAAAATAATAAATAAATATGTTTTATGCTAAGATTAAGCTATTTTTGTAATTTAATTTTGCATATAAATGTATATTTTAAGGTATTTTTGCTTTTAGGGCATATCTGTTCTATTTTATACTTTTTGGTACATTAATGAATTAATTAATAATTTTATAAATATTTTCTTCATCGACGTTTTTATTTCATACAGCCTATATTTAGTAATATGATATGGTCGTTGAACAGAGGCAATATTTTCCTAGAAACGATTGAAGATTGCCGATTAGATTAATTTCTCGTTATTAATTTTGTTTATAGCTAGATAACTCCACAATATATGACCGATAGTCATACTTGGCCGTTGTAAAGTTGTAAGTTGTAACCACTAACCACGGTAGATTATAAATATATAATCTACCGTGGTTGTAACTAAAGAAAATAAATTCATCATAATAATACAAAAAAAATATTTTATAGGTATAAATGTATAATATAAAATGAAAAATTTATAAAAACATTTTATTATAAGTTTAAAGTAAATACCAAAATATCTGGTGTCATTAATAATTTTATAACTTATTAGTATAAAATGTTTTACTTGTATCATCATTTATCATGTACTAATACTTTAAAGTATATTAATTTGTATTTTAATTGATATATTTCTTCTCATTTTTTTAATGATACTTGTTGTGAGTTGTGAACATAAAATTATTCAACAGCATAAGTGAATAAACATTTGATTTTGTGATAATGAGGTAAGTCAGTAAAAAAAAAAAAAACTGTTGAAAAACATTGAAATATTTTATATTAATTTAATAATAAAAATCTTTTGGATAAACTTAACTTTAAATATAAGTACACTGAGTTATAATATCGAGCTATAATAATAAAAAATTAACCTTTACCTGCATGGCCGTATTGGAAATTGCTACATATTTTGTAATAATAGTAATATATATATAATAAAATATTTTATGTAATAATATGCACACATTTTTTAACATTTTTTTCTTGTACTTGTGAGATGCACACGTATATCATAAATTTTATAAAAATTATGATAATATATTAATGTGTATTACTTAAGTCTAACTATTAATCTATCCAATTATCTATGTATAGGTATAATTATGAAATTTTCATAATGATCATAATGATCATATTATATTATTTTGATGAAAATAATTTTAAGCTTAATGGCATAATATGTAAAACATAATACTGACCAATATAAAATAATATATTAATATATTATATTATTATCCATTGCATGATATTGGTTTTTGACATATAATTCATATAGTTATATTATTATATATTTTAATACACAGTATACTATGTTGGCATATACCTTGGTCCAATGGTTAGTGGTGAAACCATAAAAGTATAAATGATACAATATACGGGATGTTGAATATTATATTAGTTATCGGAGACTCAGATAGGTGTTAGATAAATCATAGTCACATTAGACTACTATCTTAGAAAGGCCGGTGTTCTGTATAAGGCGATTTTGATTCATCGTTTTCCGTATGACCCTACAAGGCGTTCTTGTTATTTCGTCATGTTTTATTTGTACAAAATCATTCAAAGCATATATATTTTTATCCCATTTGTTTATTTTTATTTAGTAGATTTAAAAGAATTTGATAGATTTTTGTTGTAAACATTTTATATTATTCAAAATTAGGTGGCATGCGCGTATTTGACGTATTTCCCAAAGGAGCATCGACTTTTTGCTGTTCAAAACTACAGTTATAGGTACTAACTAAAAAAATATATGAATTTCTGATCCTAAAAATCGTAAAATATCTCAAGCTCATATTAGTTATTAATTTACTAACGGAGGCTTTGAATACATATTTAGAATAATGTACATGTCAAAAAACTATAAAGTAATTGAATTAAAAAGACAAAATTAACGTTACCTATTTGTAAACTAGCTTTTACTGCTATATAGTATTTGAATCTTTAATAATAATATGACGTGTCAATGAAAACTTAAAGACGATTGATGGATTGGTATTATCACGTGTTTAATGGGATTAATAAAATTAATAATTTAAGCTCGATATCGTTATCCCATACTTTTGCTTTTGCATCCTATGATACAATCCTATGATGTTAACTACAGTCTACAATATATCTTATATTGTCCTTTTATACATTACTCAGCTGATATCATAAAATCGTTCTTCCTTTACTAATGTCGCCCAGCTGCCAGGGCCTAATTATTTAAAATATTTAAATAAGAAAATTTGGCAGTACAATAATTTCATAGTTTTTTGTATATAAATAATCTCAAATCCAAACTAATAATACTTTTTAAATTACAATACATTAAAGCTAAAATTGTTATTTTTCGTTTAAATACGCATCTGATTTCTAAAAAATTTGAACTTGAAATAAATATAAAAAAACCATACTTTTTTGTTTTTTAGAGTTTTATGAGAAACCTTGTATTAAATATTTAAGCTTTAGGTATTAAAATTGAAAATTTTATTCATTTTTAATTACAAAACAAATTGACTTTAAACACGTATAAAAGAATTGTGCGCATGCTATTTTAGATATTTTTTAATCGCTGTAAGAACAATACTTGTGAGGAACGTTAAATTTTCAAGTTTTTTCCTCACAAAAATGTTTAATGTATCACGCGTAAGTAAAATAACTAAACAATTATAGTATATTTCGTTAGCATTTCAAATGTCTACGGGTTACTTATTACGGTTATTAATTTTTAAATTAAAATAAATAAAAAACAAAATGAATTTTGTTAAGTACTGGTACCTAATTATTATCATTTTTCCACATTTTCAAGTTTTTCTATTATTTTTTTTAAGAAAACTGAGGGTTTTTTACCTGTACTTTACCAACTTGGTACAATTTTGCTACTATAAATTTCTCTTGGAGTTAAAGATCATAGCTTTATAACAAGTTTAAAAAAACATATGTATTTGTATACCATGCACATAGGCAATATACATTATATACATAATAAAAAAATCACACATCGTTCCGCTCAGAATCCAAATGGTCATTCTTTTTACCAAACAACACATTCTTTAAAGTCAGATGAACTTATCATAATTATTTTACTCGTTGTATCGTTTTTAGAATAATAATGTGTGTGTTCAGTCGTCTTGACGTATAGATCTTTACATTTTTACAAAGAAAAAATGTATTTTTATTAAAAAAACGAAATCATAATATTATTATTATTTTACGGACGCAACGCGCGTGTGTTCCGGCGGTGTGGTGGGAAACCGGCCCAACGAGCGAGGGAACTGTAGGTGATGGAGTGATGGAGATTTGAGCGAGATAGAGCGAGCGAAAAACACCACAGGGTGGGAGTGAACGGAATCGCCGCCGCCGCCGCCGCCGACGTCGTCCTCGGCATACGGTCGAGAGCGCGCGCGCGCCAGTACACGTTGTTCCGGTTTCGGGTGCGTTCGCTGTGTGTCCCTCCTGCTTGGCCAGACGGTAACGACATATATATTATCATAAAATAAATAAACAAATACGCGTATCGGTTGTGCCGGCGACGGGCTGTCTTTCCCTCCCCTCGATCTCTCTGTCTCGTCCGCTTTGCTATTACAACATACAAAACGAACATAGTACCATCGTATTCACACGCCCGACGGTGACGACTATGCGATCGCTGCACGCCATCCCGGCGCACCCACAGCAGAAGCTCGTCCCGTCGTGACCACTCCCGAGCGCGCGCGTGCAGCATATAACAATACGAGTATAGCCCAAGCCATCGCCGATACAACACACCGCCGTCCCGAGGGTTGATCGCCGCAGCTGAAAACCCGCCGCCGTCGTCCCAGATGCGTCCCGCCGTGGTGTCACTCGGCCGACCGCCGTCGGTCCGGTCGCCGACCACCGCACTGCTGCTGTTGGCCGCGGCCGCGCTGCAGCTTCCGAACGCCGTTCGGTCCGTCGAGTCGTCCGCCGATCCTAAACGTGAGTATTTCTGCGTTAGCAGTGATCGCTGCATTGCCTGTACCATTTATGGGTTGTTTGTGACGATATTATTGTATCGTCCGTGTAATTACGTCATCCCGCGGAAGTGTCACGGGGGGGGGGGGGGGGGAGAGCCAACCTAAAAAATTATTGTAACTATGACATATCTCGAAATTGAAATTTATATCGACCTTAAAATATTAAAAGATGTATTATTTTATTTTTTTGAACACGACGTATCTCACGTGCACGTTCGTGGGTGTACTAAGCGTATATGACATGATAATATACGTATATTATGTACAATGTATTAAACATTTTTAAAAACCGATATCATATTTTTACCAGAAAGTATGAAATCGATTAATTTTTAATCCACAATACTATGGCGATAGTAATGTATAGATTTTAATTGGATTTCTTCAATCCTATGGAGTAGGTATGATTTTATGGAGATGAATAATTGTAGAAATTTAAATTAACAATTCAAAATCATTTTGTTATAACGGTCATTAATCGCCGTGAAAATTAAGAAAAGTAAAACAGTGCGATACAAGTGTATATGTTTTATATACATGCTAAAATTCGTAATGGAATATAAATAAGAATATAACTCGATATGTAAAAAAATATAAGTTTGAATTTGAATTTATTGATAAAAAATTTCATTTTTTTATAATAATTCGATGTGATGACTGATAAATAAAATAAATAATATTGTTAAACAATATTTAATATTTAAGTATATTGTTTCTTACACACGCAATCAAGTGGATTTTCAATGGAAATATATGTGGTAATATTATATATATTATACCTTTATGATATATTATTATGAACAATTTCATTTTTTACCATCGTTAATGTCACCGTTCACATGCCGTCTGATCGGCATCCGTTCGCCCGTTGACTGTATACACCACTACTATTATTATTATTGTTATTATTATTACTATTGTTATTATTATTATTATTATATCATCTGCAGACTTTATTCTAACGATTTTTTCCGTTGCCCAAAATGGGTTATGAGTTATGACTCGTGATACGCTTAATACTTTGTAGCCTTTTATGGATGAGGAGCTCGAGAAAGCGGATTAGAGGTGACTTAAGATCACTAAACATTTTTTATTATTTTAATATTATAATACCGTAGAATTATAAGAATATTGCAGGTATTAGAAAGCATATTATGAATGTATTACCATATTATACTTACAAATATTTTATTTCAATAGACTAAATCCGTACACTTATTTTAATAGGCTTTTACGGGCTTACGGTCCAGTTATAATATTTTAAAATCGTATTATGTAGACATTTTAGGTATTTCATTCATTGCAGGGGACTGTAACTCTCCGTTAAATTTAAGGAAAGTAAAAAAAAAAAAGCTTTGATTGTTCTTTGAACGGTTTATGTAGGACATAATTTGTATGAAAGTTGCTGAATAAGTCTAAAATGTAACACACTTATACACGCACGTCATCAGTATTCCAAACTTACGAATAAGGTTACGAATTTAATATAAACTATAAATCCTGTAAAATTAATTTAATAATTAAAGTTTGAAAGGTATAAAAATCAAGTTTTACTAAAAATTAAAATATATATAAATGTGTTTAAGCAGTTTTAATTGACGGAAATCATAAAAAAATTTCAAAAACAACCTTAGTAGGTAAAAAAATTTAAATTATGTAAAAAAAAAATGCAAGATAAAAGTTTCATAAATTTTGTATTCGTAAATAACTAATTCAAATTATGCAAATTAAAAAAAATCTATATTTTACTGCTTATTATAGGGTTAAATTTCTTTTATATAACAAATTGTCAGCTGTTTCCACTCAAGCAATATCCTTGCTACTTCATCAAGTGATATTTAGGAAAATATGTCAATAAAAATATATGCATGATTCATAACCCACGATAATGACAGCGTTATTCTCCGTACAAAACGAACTGTATTTGATAGCGTTTTTCTATACTAAACGATTCATACGAATCGAAAAATGTGTTGTAAAATGTACGTATAATACACGTTATCGTATATGCTAGCTGTATGACAGCAAACTATCGTGGTGTGCCATACAATAATGATCGACTTCCACACCGTTTAAACATGTAAACAATAAAATATCATAGGTGGGTTTTACGACAGCATTATTTTAATGAGCATCGTAGATGTAAATAATGAAAAGCTATACATAAAAATAAATAAATCTTGTCGCGCATCTTAATGGCGATTGAACACAAAAGTTGCTATAAATAATCAGGGCTATTATACGAATCCGATCCGTGTAACTTTATTTTAGACACGGTTATTTTTATTATATAACATGAACGCGTTGATAAGATTTTATGAAACAAAAAAAAGTATGTCAACGTCATCGTGGGCGGTATCCGCTTCTACAAAAAGTGTATCTTTTTTTTACCAATATTCGTTTCCACCAAAAGTATACCTTTCCCTTTTCCATCGATATTTGTTTCCATCAAAATAATTTATACTCTATTAAAAGCTGTAATACTACAGTAAGTTTATATAAAAGACTAGATTATATAGGTATATTGAAAAACAGTGTATTATAAATTTAGTTAAATAATTTTTGAACAACTAAATCAAAAAAATAATTAAGCTGCAACAATAATAATTCTGTACCGGTACTAAAGTCGCGTGTCGGTCAAGTAAAAATAAAAAAATTCAAAAATAGTAAATAATGTTTTTTTTCAATATAGGTAACAATAATAATTCTATATAGTCGATCTACATTATATATACATATATATAAAATGTATTAATTGGTAAGTGTTCGACTTTGATACTTGTACAAAGTTATATTATTATATAGGTAGCTATAAAATAATTTTATTAAAATTTTTAATACAATATGTTTTTCTATATTTAAGGTACTTTGACCTCGTGGTCCGTGTTCTGCAGAATATTCTTGTTATTCACTCATCAAATGAAATAATATATTGCTTGCGAAAATCGATTTCGCTAATAATTATTTTAATAACCACATTTAATAACCACCTAGTGGCTAGTATAGTTGAATGTTATGGGTAAAATATCTGGTAACGTGTAACCACACGATTTACGCAGAAAACGGTGACAGAGTAATACAGTAATTTACTTTTAGTGATATTTCTATATAATACAATAATAATTGTTAAGGAGAATTACTACTGTAGTCGCGCAAAGAAATGTGTTACAGTTCGGTTCTTATTCTGTGGCATGAACATGTTGGGCAATAGAATCCGTCATCCGAAACCGAGAAATAGTTATATTAGATTTTACTATCATGATAATAGAGTGGTTTCACTAATGACTTTAACCAATTACGATGCAAATATAATTTTAATTATATAATGACGTCGACTAAAAAAAAAAAAAAAAACATTGAAAACGGTGCAGTTGTTGTTCGTATTCATACAGCAATATTATAATTGTACATTTTCTTCACGTATCTGAAGTTACATAAAGTTGAAGGATTGAGAATAATAATTAAGGTGCATGGAATAGTTAATGCTGTGTAAAATGTATTTAATTTCCAAATGGTCCACAAATAAACGCGTTAAACACTTTAAAATCGTCTTTTATTCTTCCCATTTAAACGGTTAAAATACATATGTCAAAGATATTTTCGATGGATCTAATATTATTTTATATTTTAACTAAATACAGTTAAATGTAAATTATTGTTGTTAAAAATTTATCAAAACTTTGATTAGGTTTATTTTTATTAGTTTTAAGAGGCACGTACGTGACTGATCCGTAATACATACGTATGACTGGTTAAACAGTTTCAGAACCATTGACCTGTATGATGTAGACGTATTTTTCACATAACGACAAATTTTCCCCGTGGAAAAATTACGATGACACTCGACGGCTGGTGGTATACGATTATAGTATTATACAGTATTGATATCGGAACGGACGACACGCTTACCGTCAAACCGGAGGTAATGACCTATACACGTTGTGTGCGTGTGTTTCCAATTGAAAGTCTGATCGGTTGTACAATAATAAATAATAATACACCTGTATAATATTATATACGTAGTGTGCCTGCAAAAACGCGCATGGTTTGAATCGCGCATGAAATTAACACCCTCTACTCAGCAACGATGCGCATCGTAAACAATGACTGCCTTCGCGCTGGCCCGATGTCTCTCTGACCAGCTATGCAATTTCCTTTGTAATAAAATATTATTTCAATACAACGTAACATTATAAATTATAATTATTATTATGGTAGCTGCTATTAATATCTATATAACGTTGGTGCAAATTAAAACATGTAGTAGGGTTTATGGGTTTACTTTTGTCATTGACTAAAAGCTTAGCGGTGTGAACGATAAACAATAATATTTAACTTATGACGTGGAGTTATAATTATGCAAGAAAACATCGCGCAGGGTTATTGTTTTTTGTCTCTGTTACCAGTGTGGATATACCTATAAAGCAAATTTGCATTCAATAAAATAACGAACAGTTAATAATTTGTTGTTATAATTTTATTAATATTATACAACGCATCGACTTATGCTATCAAATTCGAAGTTAAGAACATCGCAGTCTGTGTTTGTACTTACGTTGACTTTTTTACGACACTTACATTTTTATATGAATCATGAATATATTATGTTAAATATCGCGATTAAACAATACTAATAAATAACAATAAAATTAAAATATCGTAAAAAGCTAATGTATAGACACAAATAATTGTCTTAATTTTGAGTTTGATGCAGATCAATTCATTGTTTACCACGTTAAAGCCGACAACATTAAATTGGTTCTGCTAAACGTAAATTTATAGTTTTGTTGTACGTGAGCTTTTTAAGTGAGAAATATACTGAGAATAGCACATTAAATATATGTGAAGTGAGCTCTTGTTTTGGTAACTGCATTTAAAAATAATAAATGCATTAAACAAATTATAATTATTAACTTCAAAGTTAAATTATATGAATATATTATTTATCTATGTTTCATAATT